TATGGACAGCAAACCCAAGCAAGCAGAATGTCATATCTAAGGTCGCCTGGAAGCACGCCATCAAGCAGGAGGAGCAAGGGGGACTGGGCATATTGGACTCGGGGCAGCAGATGAAGGAGCTGCAAACGACGTGGGTTTCGCAGCTTACCACCCATCCTCAGCTTCCATGTGCTCCTCTGGCCTTAGAACACATTAGAAGACTGGCTAAATTCAAAACACATGCCAACATGTCAGGGCTGCATTGGGTAATGAGCAAAGGCTGGGCACGGAAGCGTAGGGACGAAGGAGAGGGGATATCCGGGGTAACTGAGGGGAGGGGTGGCTCCTATTGGGCACAACTCCTCAAGCTCTGGGGGGACATCTTCCCAGCGAGGGTAAGGGAACCAAGCAACAGAGAGGAGGTGCTCCATCAACCACTATTCTGCAATCCCTTGATCAAGGATCACCAAGGGAAGCCGCGTACCCGAACAGCACGGGACTCGAAATGGGGAACGTGGGTGGAACATGGAGTCTGGCAGGTCAGACATTTATGGTCAGATGAGAAACGACGATGGAAGACAGCACGAGACCTACGGAATGATATGAAGGGCACCCACAAGTTGCTAGAAAACCTGAATGACGTTCTCCTCTCCATCCCACCAGAATGGATAAATCTGCTAGAGAAGGGGCCGCAATGGGAGAAGCGAGACTGGGCCGCGTGGTTACACGAGGATAAGCCGGAAGAGGCCTTCAGGATAAGGGGCAAGACGGGTCCGGGGGATGCATGGTTATTGGCTGATATGTTATCGATAGAAGAAGTAGGGACCACCACCAGTCAGTTAGATAAGACATCTACTTCCCCGATTACAATCTGTAAAATCGCAGTGCGGAAGGTCAGAGTGGTAGAGGCCGGCAACTACACGATTTATGCTCCAACTACGGCTCTGAAGGATATACAAGTGGACCCGGCAGAATGGGCATGGAACCTCAGGGGAGGTCTACTGAGGGTAGCCAGAAGAATAAACATAATTCACTACGCAACCAAACTTGGGTACAGACTAAGAAGGAGGTTTCACCCACTGGCAAAACCACTGGCTATCCGATGGGAAAGGAGGTTGGAAGTGCCCAAGATGCAGGTCGCTTGACTGTCGTGGTCAGCATTGAGCAACATAAGGTTAGGCAGGGTCAAAAGCTTACAGTGGCTGATTTTTCGTGTGGCACTCCCAGTCAATGCTTGGTTGTACGAGCGCGGCAGCTACCACCAGAGGGACCAGGTCAACCAGAAGTGCCACCTCTGCACGGATAAGGGGATGGAATCCTTGCTTCGCTGTCTGCTACAATGCCCGGAAGCGGTATACGTGTGGGAAGTAGCCAGGGAACTGTGGGGAAAGATCTCAGACGAGGCCTTTCCGGAGGACAGGAGGATCCTCCTCACCGGCATGGAGATCTCACACTTACTGTACTTGGTGATAACCAATATTTGATAGTTGGGTGAAACAGATTTTACGAGGACAACTCGATAGGACACACCGAAGACTACCTTCTTCCCCCGAATACAACGTACGGTACAGCTATGATGACTGTACGTTGTACTCGGAGGAAGAAGGTACCCTTCCATGTTTCCTATTGAGTTGTCCTCGCAAAATCTGTTTCACCCACCTATCAAATATTGGTTATCACCAAGTGCGGTAAGGCGAAGAGGAGAGAGAGTTTTACACTTTCTAGAGACCAGATGCTTACCCATAATGTGTTTACAAGAGACAAAGATGAGTAAGGTGAAATTAAAGAGCCAGTGGCAGTGGTGGAAAGGCCTGCAATTTTGGGCACCTGCCGATAATTTACAGGGGAGCATGGCCATCCTCTTCTCACCAGGACTCCAGGGCGCAATACATGATAGTTTCCTGGATTCTCATAAGAGGTGAGCATTGTTGGTCTTCAACCATGGCAAGGACTTGTGGCTCCTGTGGCTGCTGGCAACAATCTATGCCCCGTTGGACAGGTTGGAGCGCAAGTGGTTCTGGCGATGATTGCCAGGATGTCTCCCGAGGATGAATAAACCTACATCATTCCAGAGCCGATATTCCCTCTCTATGGGCAGGCGATGACATGGCCTGATCCAATCTACGCGTGTTTAGCTGCTGCAAGATCTAGTCTACAACTGCTCACCCTGTTGGCGATAACCTCTCAGGACGGTGCACTGTAGGGGGTTCATGTGAGAGTCTATTCTCCACCTCAGGTTGCTTTGTCTCTTCCTCATCTGACAAGGATGGAGAGGATCCGATTATGGGCACAGCCAGACGATGCCCGACGTTGCATATCGGATATGAACGAAGAGGATGTGGCAGGTGATGGCATCGGGATAGTCCATGCAGCAGAGACACGTACTCTCCATGACAGCTTCCTGGAAACATTGATGACACATGCCAAGGCCACAACGGTTGGGGGGCCGGGGGGCAGAGGGGGGCGCATGGGGGAGAGACGAGGACAAGCAGGCTCACATTCACAGTTATTCAAGCATGGCATGTCAAGGCCAAAACGGCATATCGGACAAGCAATAACCGTAGATGCACACGGTCGTAGCTCTGATACCAACTGTTATGTGCCTGATTGAAACGAGATACAGCATGGCATCCACATGTTCCCATACACGAGCGCAACGACAAGACATCTTGGAGAGAGCAATTCACACCACACCGGAAGAGAGAATACACAGTGGAAGCACTTAATAAACCAAAAATAGAATTGAAATTACTCGATACTCATTAATATCCCGCTCCGTCCAGCCAACCAATGCACTGTTATTTCCAAGAATCCCAACCACGTTATTCACATTCACAAACCAACTAAGAAGAGGGTTTCAACAAGTAAGGGAGACTTCTTCTTCCTCCCAACCTCAAGCTCACAGCTATGGCGCAGGCCTGCGCCCAGCCTATCAAGCCCATCAAGCACCACCAACCCTCCCGAACCCGACACACCACTCAGCAGTCCAAACTCGATGCCCACTGCAGATGAAGTGTCCGCTCAACAAGGCAGGGTAGCTCCCAGGACGAAGAAGAAGAGCACCAGCGCTTGATGAAGAAGGAGATGGCTGCCTCTTCGACAAACACTTGCAAGAAGGGTTTCGATGGCGACCCTGCCTATCCCCTACAGCGCAGGTAAGAGGAGGCGCCTCACAGCGCTCAGGGCCTGATGCCCAGCGCAGTCACAACACGAGCCAGGAAGCCCCAGCTATGGAGGACAGCCCTAGCAGCATGAAGATGATGGCGCAAGTGAAATAACGCAGCACCCAAACAACACGCGACCTCCAGCAGCACTTCGTGGAAAAAAAATGACGAGACAGCACCCGTTTTTCCTTGTCCTCGACACTTTTGTAGACTGCTGTTTTCCCTGACTCGACAACCTAAAGCCTAGGAACGACAGCCTATAGCCTAGGACCGAATGTAGACCTAAAAATGGCAAAAGGGGAGGACAGAAACGACCTACAACTCAAGGGCAGAAAGGACAAAACAGAGAGACCTAGTGGTATTCCAGCTAGCCTACAGAGACTACTCCAAACAGACCTAGGGATCAAGCCCAGTTGGGCTCTCACACACAAAAAAAAAAACACAGCAAACAGAACAGGTCACGGGATCGAATCCCGGAGAACTCAAAACCAGGCAACATCAAACGAAGTTAAGTGTACAGTCCGCATGCCACTGCAATTCATTGCAATCTCATAGTGTCAGTCTTCCAATGTATGCACATTGTGTGTCTTTTCGAGTATACGCATTTTGTGCCAATGGTTTGAAGTTGATGATCCCCATGATAATGAGTAGTTGATGATGATGATGGTGTGTAGTTCATGATGAAGGTGACCTGTCGTAACTGTTGATGCAGTTCAGGACAATGATGAAGATGTGTAGTTGATGACGATGATGTCATGATGTGATGATGTGTAGTTGGATACCATCATGATGACGATGACGTTGATGTGATGAACTGTGTGGATGGTGTAGTCGATGGTGATGGAATGATGATGTGTAGCTGGAGCGATGCTGATGCTGATGATAATGTGATGTAAGTGCTCATGTTCTGTACTCGATCATGAATCGCTGATGATGATGTCATGACGTGTAGTTGGATGATGACGAGGATGATGCAATGACCTCCCCCACCACTTCATCATCCTCATCAAGAGCACTTTGTGATCGTCATCAACGCAATCATCACGAACATACAAATTCCGACACTTCACCACGTCATGAAATCAGTTGAACAATTTCAAAACTTCAAATCACCCAAATACAGGCCCACTTTCTTTTGTCAAAGTAGGGAAAACAATAAAGGAATTTGCTCCTAGGGGTGGTTTGGCCATTCCAATCAGGTCACACAGCCCAACCGTCAATCTGGATGCCGGGTCACCCGGAAATGAAAAACTTGTCCGCGACTCCTGACAACTTCGATCCTGGACATCCAGAGCTGGACATTTAGCGGGATGTCCAGATCCCGGACTGCTCCTTCTTTTTTCCTCCTTGTTTCGGGCTTTTTTTGCGGTTTCTCTTTTGTTCCTTTCTTTTAGCTCCCCACCGTCAAGGGTCACCAAAAATAGTTTTAAAAAAGGCGATATAATATGGATGAGTGTTCTGAGTGTGTTATGTGCGTGTTGTGCATGCGTTGTGTGTGTGTTGTGTGTGTTGTGTGTGTGTTGTGTGTGTGTTGTGTGTGTGTTGTGTGTGTGCTGTGTGTGTGTTGTGTGTGTTTGCCGGTGAGCGGTTCACCCGCCATCAATCGTCATGCCATCCCGAACGAACACAAACAGGGTAAAGCAGTATAAAGTTCAAGGTGTGACCCATTTCTCTGTGGTTGAGCAGGGAGTGCCCACACACGTGTCCACTTGAAGCGAACCAGAACACTAAATACCAATAAGTACAAATTGACAGGCACCAATTCCTACACCTTGAAAAACAGTCCATTATTATTCTAAAAGTGTAAGATTAGGCAATCACCATCTCTATCATTGCATGGTCCGACCGCCATCGTACCTTAACTTCACGATCTCTCTGCAATGCATATGGCTCAGTATCCCGCTCAAAGCAAAGTCTGGTGATCCCCCACTGACTCACACCACACCAAAGATCATCACACAAGGAATTAATCTGTTAGATGGCCAAATTTTACTGATCTCCTTATTTCGGTACAGTAAACCACCAGTACGTTTCCCAGCAATTTTGCAAAAACCCGCCATGCATGCAGACGCCTCCTGCGAGATGTACCCAGGTTCCGTTTCCCCTGAAATCCACCCAGGCCAATCGGGCCTTGCATGCGACCCATTTTGAAGCCTGAACAGATACCGGGCAAAACAGCACCCCAATACATGCAGCCCAACGCGCCTGCATGCACGGCACGTATCTGCAAAATGGCTGGGAAATGCATTGGAAGTTTAAACCACCACTTGCATGTATCTGCAAAATGGCTGGGAAATGCATTGGAAGTTTAAACCACCACTCACTACTACCTGTTAGGCTGGAAACCTAAGTTCTAAATATAGACCGGCGAAGGCTGGGGTCTACCGGACCAAAAAGGCTGGTGGCACCAGGCAAAACAAACAAAAAAACGCCGCCCTTCGGCCAAAGCTTGGCGCGCAGTTCTACTCCACGTCGGCAAAAAGCGGCTCAGAGGTAGTGGTGGTTTTAACGGGGGCGTCGGGGGGAAAAAAAGAATCATCCCCCATGGTGTAGGGTTGCTAATACGCCACACACTACCCTCCATTTTCCACATCATTGATGAGAGCCTCTTCAATTCTGACCCATGATTAAAAGCGTCTTCGGAACAGGATGGGATTTTTTGCAACCCAATCTAGCTGTCAAGTCAGTCAGATACACCCAGGACTGTTCTCTTTTCTTTTTTTTTGCGAGTAGTCGATTTCATTCATCTGGTTCCATCAAGATTCTAACTTGACTCTGCATTTCAAGTTTCAACAGTTCATTGTTGTACCAACTGAGCAAGGTCAGTCGGTGGTCATCCAGGACTGTTCTGTTGCAAATGCGGCAATTTGCCCTGCACAGTGCACATCTTATGGGGTTCCTTTTTCCTCCTTAAATATTTTCAAATCTCAGTCGCAATTTACCCAACCATGAAGAAGCAACGAGGCACAAGGTTAGTGACAGTCACCTCTCAACTGTGTATACGTGCCCATGGATCATAAGCTTACGCCTACCATCTGCGTCGTTGCGGTCGTAGCTTCGTCAGGACTTGGTTGCCTCCTGGTCCTGCTTCGTCTATGCTGTCCCGATCATAGCCGCTTTGTCGCGACCAGGGGATTCCCAAGTCAGGTCGGATCCATGATCAAACAAATTCTTCACTCAGAGTGCATACGCAAAATGAAGGGGGGGGAAGACCGCATGCTGACACTACTAATGTCCGAGCTGTCACTGGACAGAGCTAGCGCTGGATTCACATTAGAAAGGTCTGGTGTGAGTACGACCTGAGAGAAAAGAGTACACAAAAGGAAGCAACCATGACACCCTGTTTTCGTTCACGTCGTTGTTTTTCTTCTTTCTTTCTTTCTTTTTCCTCTTCTGTACCTTCTTTGGATAAGTCCATATTTTCCCACGTTTCTTGTTTCTTTTCCTCTTTTGTAGCGTGCAAATCCCACCTGTTTGCGCGATTGATTCAGAAGCCCCCACACACCCATCTGCTTACCCAAAGCACACTCAACACTATTGAAGATATAGGGGACAAACTTGATGGCATCAAAGCGGACAGAGCAATATGGCTGGTGAGGGTGATGACATAGGAAGCCATAGACAGAGCTTTGGGTGAAGCAGCTCATGCAGTTGCTGGCATGAGGACAATGCCTCGAAAGCTGGCCTGACAAGTAGCATGCAGGTTGCAGGCAAGGACAATAGAGGCCGGTTTGGCGCAGGTGAGCATAAATAATGCATGTCATTGGAGGCGAATTGGCCATGCAACATCACAGCGCAGAGAATCCATATACTGAGAGAAAGTGGGAGCATGCTGTGCTATACTCGACATGGCTGCAGAGGCCCTGCCATCATCGTGGCCCTCCTGAAACAAGCAATGGCATTCCCAGCCAAGGATCACTACTAGCCTATGTCCTCGCAGCAAAAGAGGTGGTCATAGGGAGCCGAAGTAGGTCCTTTGCCAAGATGGCATACAACGCACAATGTAAACCAGGTAGGCCTGTGCTGCGACAAGGGCACAATGTCCACAAATGTATAACACTCTGTCCGTCAAAGATGTGCATGCGTTCCATTTGAGGCATTGAGGGCTCACCACAGTGCTTTTGGAATCGACAGCCCGTTTGGGGCCTGGTCTGGCCGTTATCCCCACCATTCTTCCCCCGGGCACAACCCCCTTATCATTATATCTGTACCTGGCCTGAAAGCTGCACGAAACACAGCCATAATGACCGGGTGTTGTATTGCAGGGAATAAGGGCGCAGGGTTCACACATCGCTTTGCTCTCTCTGTTCTCTATCAACGAAAGGCCTATACAGACAAGGCATAAAAACAAGGCATAAAGACAAGGCATAAAGACAAGGCATAAAAACAAGGCATACAAACAAGGCATAAAGACAAGGCATAGAGACAAGGCATAAAAACGAGGCATACAAACAAGGCATAAAGAC